CGGACGGCCAATGTAGCTGGAGTCTCCTGGACGCAGATGGGAGGAGTTAGGGTGATGATGCGGGCGGACTCGGGAGGACTAGAAGATTCCAGCGGCGCTCCGTTGTCCATAAGGAGTATTTTCTATTGTTTTCTGTGGAATCCACAAGCGCTACATTTTGTCATAAAGATCCGTTATAACATTCTATATACAACAGTAATGTTGTGTTGCACACGGTTGCTGTGGTGCACACAGGCGCCGTGGTGCACACAGGCACTGCAATGCACGCAGGCATTGTGGTGTACACTGGTGGTGTGTTGCACAATGCGGATGTGGTGTACGAAGCGTTGTGGTGCCCACAAGAGTTGTTGTGCCCGCAGGCACGATGGCACAAAGTGACGCTGTGTTGCAACCGGCTGCTGTGGTGTACATAGGCGGTGTGGTGTACACAGGCGCTGTGGTGCACGCAGGCGCTGTGGTGTACACAGGCGTTGTGGTGCAAATCGCCACATACATGCTGGCGCTACCCGTCCTGCATCATTCCTAGACATTCCCAGACGCCGCCGGCGCGAAACGTGACGATATCGACCCCCTGCACCCCCCTAGATGATTGCCGTCATCGGCCCGGAATAAAAAACAGGTTTCAGCCGCGTCCACGCGCACGACGACTATGAGCGACGAGCGACACGCCACGAGCGACGACGACGACGACGACGACGACGACGACGACGACGACGACGACGACGACGACGACGACGACGACGACTGCGGCCCAGACTCCTATGCAGATTCCTAATTACGCGGACACCTACGCGGATCCCAAAACGCACGGCAGGCAGAGTGCCCGGAGCGCACTGGGGGGGGGGAGCGTTACGTCATAGGGGGGAGGGGGGGGGCTGGGGGGGCCATGACGCCCGTCGTGCCCCAAGCAATAAAGAAACGGGCTCGAGGAGGCGGGAGGAGGAGGAGGCGGAGGCGGGAGGAGGAGGAGGAGGAGGAGGAGGAGGAGGAGGAGGAACACACGTTCTAGCCGGCAGCGCCGGCGAGCGCGAGCGCGTCTGTGCGGGGCTGGCGGGCGGTGCCGGGTGCGAGCGCGCGGAAGCAGGTGGGAAAGGCAGGGGTCGGCCGCGGAGGCAAGTCGGCGGCGAGCGAGGGCGGGGAGAAGTGAGAAGGAGCAGGCCTTCCCAGGGGGCGGCGGGGCTTCTCAGGAGCCCGCGTCTCCCGAGAGGCGCTGCCGCGTCGTCGAGGAACGCACTAAAGACCTCTCAGAGGTCGGGGGCCTCCCGAGCCCTCCGAGAGGGCCCGCCCCCCCTCGGGCGCAGGGTGGTCTGGGGGGCCATGACTGACTACGCCACCCCGTGGCGATTCGGGACGATCTGGGCAGCCCCACCGCGCGCTCGGCGAGGCGCAGCCCGAGGACGGGAGACCGCGCGGTGCCGACGGAACTCCCCGAACGCCTCGATCGCACGCCGGGGGCCTCGAGGCCTGGACCCGAAAGCTCGGAGGCTCCAGCGCCCGATGGCTTCCCCAGCCCGAGGACGGGAGACCGCGCGGTGCCGACGGAACTCCCCGAGAGCCTCGATCGCACGCCGGGGGCCTCGAGGCCTGGACCCGAAAGCTTGGAAGCTCCAGCACCCGAGGGCTTCCCCAGTGGGGCTTGCCGCCGAAGGTCCTCCAGGCGCATGCGCCGCAGCGCCAGGGCTTGCCCGCGCGAGGCGATCTCGCGCGCCTCGGCGTCGTGCGCCTGCAGCCACCTCGGGGGGCCCTGGAGCCCTGGCGAGCAAGCTCTGCTCAGTCCCAGGGGCGGATCCTTCCTTCGAGTAGGGCATCGACTGCAGAGTTGATTTGCCACGAAGTTGATGTTCCGTCGAATCTACAAGAACTACGTCGAATGCTCCGTAGATCTACCAAGCACTCGACGTAGTTTTGACAGAGTCGGCGGAAGAAACAACTTTTGGGCACCTCAATTCAATAATCGATCCCCTGCTCGAGCCCTCGGGAAGTGGTCCAGACCTCTGGGGCCCACGCATCGAAAAAGTTGAAGCAGCCAGATGTCTGGGGCTTCACCTGGACTGGACCAGCACTGGTGCATAGCTGGCGCCCAACCCGATATGTGGGCCCTGGGCGCGCAGGGAAAGCTGGCGGCGCGCAGAGGGGGGTAGGAGGAGGGGGGGAAGGCTTCTTAGAAGGAGGCTGCTTATGAGAAGGCGCTGGCCTTGCCTGTGGAAGTAAGCCTTGCCCCCTCCCCCGTACGCCCATCTGCGCGCCGCCTAGAAAGCAAGAGAAATCAACCAACACGAACACTCGAACGACGCTGCCGTCGCCAGGAAGGGCCAACACCTCTGCAAGGGAAGCATTGAGGAAACGAAGAGGTACCGATACCCCTACTCCCCAGACCTCTCCCGGGGGTACCTCCTGACCAGGATTTCGAGGCGAATCCGGCGGTGGCCACGAGAGCCTCCCGGGAGGCCCAAAAAGGGGAAAACGAGGGAAGGGTGGAGGTATCGGTACCTTTTCCTCCGCTGAGGCATGCGTGCCTGCAGCAGGCAAGCCCTCAGAGGACCGGGAAAAGGATGGCAGCACAGGTTCTGGTGGGCAGCGCGGTCGAAAGCAGGCGCGTCTGTGCGGGGGCTGGCGGGCCGTGCCGGGTGCGAGCGCGCCGAAGCAGGTGGGAAAGCTGGGAGCGGCCGCGAAGGCGCGTCGGCGGCGAGCGAGGGGGGGAAGTGAGAAGGAGCAGGCCTTCTCAGAGGGCGGCGGGGCTTCTCAGGAGCCCTCGGGCCTTCTGAGGAGTTCTCTTGGTCCTCGGGGAAGGCTCGGGAGACTTCTCAGGAGGCCTGGGGTCTTCCGAGCCTTCTGAGGAGGCCCGCCCCTTCCCAAATCCCCCTGGAACTCGCCGCCGACATGCGGCGTCCTGATGTTTTCAAGACGGGGCCCCCGGAAGTCAGGAGACATTATGCCCAGACGAGTAAACCCAGACGGAGACCGAGCACTCCGTATGGATTTACCCCGTAACTATGGATTTAGCATCCGCCAAGGAAGTCCCGACACTTTCCCCTGGGCCAGTTTTTCATCGCGAGCCGTTTTTTTACGGTCTTGGGGCCCAGCGAGGGCCCCCTGGAGGCCGAGAATGGCCGAACACCTCCCGTCGTGTTCTCGTTATACGACGCGAGCATGTGTGGCTCCTCAGACATCCGACGCCTTGATTTTCAATACGGCGTCCCAGGAAGCCCCGACCCACTCCCCAGGACCAGCTCTTCGTCGCGGGCCGTTTTTCTTGACGGCCCTCGAGGCCAACGAACGCCTCTGGAGGCCGAAAAGCGGCGAAGAACCTCCGTCCTGCTTTTTGTCAATACGTTGGATATCTCCCTGCACTGCTGGGGGCCTGGAAATTGGCACCAACACCAACACAGGCGTTTGCCTCCACCGGGAGAAGATGATCTTCGATTTCGGCGTTGGTAATATTTCGGGCACCTTGGAGGCCAGAGTATTGCCACCATCGCCGAGATCGGGATCTTTTTCCCTGGGTGGAGGCACACCGCCGATATTGGTGTTGGTGTCAACCTTTAGATCTGCGACACTGGCCTTGCAGACGTGCTGCAGCGGATTTTTGCGTGGATGTCTGCGTGGATGTTTGCCCGACGCGGCGAGCGAAAAAAAACAAAGTGCACTTCGCGTGGATTATTTTTGGTCTTCTCTCCTGGCCAAGAAAAATCCGCACGAAAATCACCTCGAATTCCGGAACGAAACTCTCCAGGACACCTCGGGCCCACCCCATCGTTTTCCGAACGAAATCCGCTCTGCGATGTTGGCGCCATGAGATCTGTGGCTCTCCTCCCCAGGGCACTGCTGGCGAGCACGGGTTTTCGCCGTCTTGCGCCGCCCTCGTCCGGCCCTCCGCCGGCTCTCTCCGCCGAGGGCGGGGCGTCGCTGGCTTCCCCCCGCGTCGACAACGACGTCGACGATGACGTCGACGACGGCGGCACGCCGCCGGCCCGCCGCCGAGCAGCCCCACCGGCTCGTCGACAGCAAAGCCTCCTCGCTGGCGTCGCGCCAGGGGGGTGGAGGTTCTAACTCAGTCCCCTGGAACATACGATGTTGCACCGATTTGCTCCGCGCGAAATTCACCGATGCATGAAGGAAGATGCTGATCAATGGCATGCAACTGCCAACACACATGACGAGCACAAGCAACATTGTTGTTTTCTCAAACGAAAAAGCGCAGCTGATCAACGCTGCTGAACAGTTCATGGGAGAGCAGCATGCGCCAGCAGCAGCACTGATTCGAACAGCACTCAATATGTTGGCGACGCATTCAATTCATACATGGGCAACTCAGCAAGCACGCATCAGCGCCTGAGCACCGCACTGCATTGCAATTCAAAGAAAGGCGGCCGAGGCACGCCGCTTGCGCGGGCGGGGCGTCACTGCCGCAGCCGCTGGCCACTTGCGCAAAACTTCGGCGCTAGCAGCAGCAGACCGCTTTCGCGACCGGGGCATCGCCGCAGTAGCCGCTGGCCCCCTGCGCAACAATGGCACTCGAAGGCAGGCGGCCGACGTCGACGCGCGGATTCGCGCACGCCGCCAGGCGCAATTTTGGCGCGAACTTCGGCGGGCGCTGCTGGAAGGCACACAGCGCTGCCTGAAGCAGCTGACGCACCTGGTGGCGCTCAGTCAGATCAAGCTCTTCCTGGCCGACCCTGCCAGAAGCTCGGCGAATGTGCAGATGGAACGCACAGCGCGCGCATTGCGCTCTGTCTGAATAAAGACATTGCGGAAAAAACACTTGAACTGCATATGGAATGCTTCATTCCGCGTTGTTCCGCACATCGCCTGAACGCCAGGGCCCCGCGCAATGAATCTGCTTAGGCCCAGCAGGCACGCGCGCTGCGCGGGCGACGTCGCATATCGCAAGCCCCCTAAGACATCGGTCTTCTCGCCAGTCGCTTCGCCCATCACCCACGGGGCCATGTGGGACAGGGCGGCGATGTCCTCAGTGAAAGAGATGGCGTTGCGGCACGGTCGCTCAGGATAGCCTTCGGCCTTGATCGCCGACATGGCTCTTGCTGCAGAAGCATCCGACAGCGATGACATCGCGTTCTCCAGCGACAGCGAATCCGTTCGCCGTCGCTGCCCGCGGCGCTAAGGCTTGCCATCGCCCAGGCCATTCGGGAACTTCACAATGCATCGGCGGCTGATATTCGATAGCGGAGCGCGCTCCTCGCCGGATGCTTGCTCAACCTTTCAAGCACTTGAAAAGGGCGCGTTAGCCGTTAGCCAACGGAGCGGCAGCTAATGGCGGGCCCTTCGCGCGACAACGAAATTGCCGGGCTCCCACTTCGCGCCAGCGCGCGATCATTCGGGCCGCCCATCGAACATCGAAACACCATCATACATCTGAGCGCGAGAAGTCTTACCGCGCACCTGTGCGCGCGCGGCACGTTAACTCCTTGAAAACGCCCCTGCCGGCGCGCCCCCGGCTACCGACCCGCGCGCGAACACCCTATTTGCAAGGCATTGGACCTCGAGGGCGATGCGCAGGGGGTCCCCGGACAGGCACTGCAGCCGCGGGAACGCGGCGCGGAGGGCGGCGTCTTCCAACGAGATAGGCGCATCTGAGAAGAACACGCGCACTTGCACGGCACCGTTCGCGTTGCCGACCGCCTCGAGTATAGGCCTTATTCGCATGCGCGAATGCCTCCGACGGCGCCGGCCTCACCGAAAAAAACGACTCCATGCACTGAACCGACAAATAGACATGGACACCTGGCTTTCGTTCACCTCCTGGCGCTCCGCGCTGCACCTGGTACGATACCGAAAGCAGAATTGACAAGTGCCCGCGCATGCCGATCATCGCCCCGCCTGCTTCCTCGCGGCATTTCGCGATCATGTTCTTGACGCGGCAGCGCTTCAAACCCTCAGCGAATGATGAATGACTGACAACATCGCCTGGAAAAATACCCGGCGAAACCTGCGGCGCCCTTCATGCGCGCCCAAGCTCGCTTCTTGGGCCCCTTGGTCTCCGGGCGGAGTGAAGCGGACAGGAGCGAAACCAGGAAATCGTCGGCGCCGTGGCACTGCTCGCTAAAACGGCGGAATGGCTCTGCATCCGCGCGCAGAACGAAGCGAGCGCGCTGACAAGCATCGAGCAAGAGGGCTGCGTAAGGATCGGAGTCAGTCCGCGCGAGCTGATGCTTTACCTCGCCCCAGGAGGGACACCCCTCACAACCGCCCCGAAGAAGTCGGCGCTGCTCGAAATCAGCGAGCGCGGCCCAAGATCATCTCCGCCCGTAGTCCAGAAGCTTGCAAAACGCTGTCATAAGGCTGAATGATTCCGCATCGCATGAATTACGCGCATCTGTTGGCTGGCCACGTACGCGGGAGATCAGCGCATCTCCACGCTGGAGAGCTTGGAAGGGGCACAATGGGCAGTGCCACAAATTATCTCGCCTGGCGGCGCCAGCGCATTCTGCGCCACGAGGGTCGAAATGGCAGCTTCGACTTCTTGCCTCATCATCGTTGCGAGCCCCCTCGATGTATACGACAGATAGGACTGGCGGCCGCCGCCCACGCAGCACAGCGAGTCGCGCCCTTGGCGATCTGGCCGCTCGCGCTGCGAGCGAATAACGTAGGCTCTCTCCATCCCGTGCCTGAGGTCACAAAGCGATGAAGGCAGTTGCAGAGATCATCTCGGCTGCGCCCAATCGAAAGCTGACGAGCGTGAAAGCGCCAACGCGGAGGGCGAAGGCGTGGCCCGTCCCGTCGTCGATGATCCACTTACCAACGGAGAACAGCGCCTCGGGGTCCCAAGCGGTAATAGCGAGACCGAAAGGATCGATCATCCGCAAGCCTCCACTCGCAATCCATTCTGGCCCGTGGCGGCCAATGCGCACTGGGCATCCGTGATCGTACAATGCCTGAACGCGAACTGAGTTGACGCTCGCCGACGCGTGGCAGCTCGGGCCCCACTACTACACCACAACTCCCATATTACAGCTCCACTACTTCAAGTTCCCGTGCTACTTTTCCCAGTATCACGACGGTACGTGTGAGGAGTCCCTTTGTTGTTGGGCTCACAAAAGTTTTTCGTGACCAATGTCCATAGGATTCCTTTTGTAGCCGACTCCAATAAGATAGCTTTTCTAGCCCGGTTTCAACGACATTATTTGTGTAGTTGATTTCAATCGAATTCTTTTGTCGCAAAAATCAAGAGCAGTATTTCTGTAAGGGCTTCAATGCAATTTTGTTTGCAGCCGATTAAAATGGGATCCTTTTCGTAGCCGATCTCAATCGGATTCCTTGTAAAAGGATTTCAATAATATCCCTTGTGTCTCCGATTTCAAGAGCACTCCTTTTGTAGCCGTTTGTCTTCGGATTCCTCTTAATGAGGTTTTCAACCAGATTCCTTTTGTAGCCGGTTTCAATAGGATTCCCTTTGCAACCGATTTCAATAGGATTCCTTGTGTAGCCCTTTTATTGGGATTCCTTTTGATGAGGTTTTCAATCGGATTCCTTTTGTAGCCAAATTCATGAGATTCCTTTTGTAGCCGATTTCAATCGGATTCGTTTTGCAAGGATTTCAAAAAAGATTCCTTTTGTAGCCGATTCCAATGGGATTCTTTGTGTAGCCGATTATACTAGGATTCCTTGTGTAAGGAGTTCAATCGGATTCATTTTGTAGCCGACTTCAATCAGACTTCTTTGCAGTCGATTCCAATAGGATTCCTTCTGCCAGGATTTCAATATGATTCCTCATGTATCCGATTTCAATAGGATTCCTTCTGGAAAGGCTGCCGGAGGGAACCAGGAGGACAAAGGAAAAAAACAAATGGGAAATCACTGAAAACTGTGAAAATGTTGTGTTTTTTAATGATTTTGATTGCGACTATTAGACAAACTATGAAGACACTACGTTTGCTTGCTTCCACGGTTTGAAAGCCTTGTATGTTACAACACCTTCTTGTGTCCACATGTACAAAGCCTGTCAAAACACAGCTTTTCCAAGGACTGATATGCGAAAACCTGGAAATCAAAAAATGGTGTTTCATCTCTGGAGTTTGAAAACATTGTGTTGCAGAGTTTTCGCGTATCCAGAATTTGGAAACGCTATGCTTCGCATGGTTTCCTCATCTTGTTTCTTATATGGAAAAAATGCAGGGCACTATGTTTTCAAGTTCCAGGGTGGAAGGAACAAAAAACAACAAACAACAAATAGATTACAACGTTTTCGCATATCTGTCATTGGAAACGAAGTGCTTTCACAACTGTTCCACATCTGGGCAAACTATAACCTGTTTACAACACAACGCTTTCAAATCCTGAAAGCCAAAAACACTGTGGTTTTACAGATTTATGGCCGCAATCACAATCAGTAAAACAGACAATAGTTTTCACAGCTGTCAATATTTCCCCAATGAGTTTCTTTTCTTTCTCCTCCTGAATCCCTCCAACAACCTCTTCCGAAGGAATCCGATTGAGATCGGCTACTCAAGGAATCCTATTGAAATCCTTACACAAGGAATCCGACTAGAATCGGCTGCGAAAGGAATCCTATTGAAATCGGCTTAAAAAATGGATCCGATCGAAATCCTTACGAAAGGAATCCTATTGAGATCGGCTACAAAAGGAATCCTATTGAGATCGGCTACAAAAGGAATCCGATTATAATCGGCTGCAAAAGGAATCCGATTGAAATCGGCTACAAAAGAAATCCTATTGAAAACCTCTTCAAAAGGAATCCTATTAGAAGCGGTTACAGAAGGAATCCGATTACAATCGGCTCCAAAAGGAATCCTCTTGAAATCGGCTACACAAGGAATCCTATGGAAGCTCTTCTTTCTCCTGAGCAAGCTAGGCCCTTCGCGAGCCTCGTTCCAGGGGGCGGAGATAGAATCCGTACGGGGGCTTCTGGGATCTGGGAGCCCAAAGATCCGACGCCCTAAAAAAAATGGAGCGGGCGGTTCTGGGCTGATTCTGGCCGTCGCGCGGCCTCGGGACCGTCAAAAAACGACTCGGGATAAGAGCCCAAAGATCCGACGCCCTAAAAAAAATGGAGCGGGCGGTTTTTGGGCTGATTCCGGCCGTCGCGCGGCCTCGGGACCGTCAAAAAACGACTCGGGATAAGAAACCGCTCCCGGGGAATAGTCCGAGACCTCTGGGGGTCGACGCTGTGAAAAAATCTGAAGGTCGGGGGTCTGGGGGGGTGGCAACTGACAGGGCCTCTCGGCGGCCAAGCGCGCAAGAGGCACGCGCCTCTGGGGAGGGGGGGGGCCAACTGAGGGCCTCCAGGGAGCAGGCCTCTCGCAGGGCCTCCTGGGAAGAGGGCGAGCCTCTCCCCCGCCTTCTCTCCCTGGAGGGCGAGGCCTCTCGGAGGCCCGACGCCGCACTCAGGGGGGGCCGCTGCCTCCTCGGAGGGCCGCCCCCCGCGCGCCGCGCGCACGGCGCGCGCCGCGGCCTCTTCTGGGCCCGGCCGCCTGACTCTGTCCAGCAGATCGCTGAGGTCGTACGCAATGGGCACGTAGTGCTCCCAGGGCCTCGCGAGGGCGTCCACGTGCTCGTAGTAGCCCGCCTGGGCGTGGGCCCCCGCCGCGACCAGCAGTCCCGAAGCACTGCAGTGGCTCGCCCTTTCCCTCTCCTCCCCCCGTGCGGAGCGAGCCCGGCGGGGGGAGGAGGGAGGGAGGAGGAGGGGGGGGGGAAAGCGGAGAAGTGAGAGAGAAAGAGCCGAAAGAGGAGAAGCAGAAGAACGAAGAGGAGGAGGAGGAGCAGGAGGAGGTGGGGGGGAAGAGGGAGGAGGAGGAGGAGGAGGAGGACGAGGAGAAGGAGGAGGAGGAGGCGGAGGAGGAGGAGCAAGAGGAGGAGGAGAGGGATGGGAGGGAGGACGAGGAGCAGCAGCATCAGCAGCAGCAGCAGCAGAAGCAGCAGGGCACGTATATCAGAAGGAGCAGGAGCTGGAACACAAGGAGAAGGAGGGGTGGAGGACGAGGAGAGTTACGAGGAGGGTGCAAGGATGGGGAGGAGAAGGTGGAGAAAGTGGAGGTAGAGCTGGAGAAGGGAGGTGAAGGTGAACGTGCACAAAGGAAGACCGGAGCAGGGCTCGTAGCGAAGGCCCATGAGCCTGGTGCTGCAAGACGACGCCGCCCAAGGCCAGCAACTTGCTGAGCCGCCCACCCTGCGCACCAGGGACGAGGGGAGGGAGGAGGAGGAGGAGGAGGAGGAGGAGGAGGAGGAGGAGGAGGAGGAGGAGGAGGAGGACGACGACGACGAGGAGGTGGGAGGAGGAGGAGGAGGAGGAGGAGGAGGAGGAGAGGAGAGGAGGAGGGAGGAGGAGAGAAGAGATGAGGAGGAGGAGGAGGAGGAGGGAGGAGGAGGAGGAGGGGAGGGGGAGGAGGGGGGAGGAGGAGGAGGAGGAAGGAGGAGAGGAGGAGGAGGAGGAGGAGGAGGAGGAGGAGGAGGAGGAGGAGGGAGGACGAGGAGGAGGAGAAGGAGGAGGAGGAGGAGGAGGCTGGCCTGCGCGCAGAGGGGCAGTACCGCTGCCGCCCCTGGCGTGGCCACAGCGCCATCCGCTCGCGAGCGCAGCGGCCGACTCATCGGCCACGACGGAGGGCAGGGCCGACCCACATCGGATCGGGAGGTCGGATCGGGTTGGAACGCGCGTCGGCTGGGGGTGCGTTGTGAGCGCAGCGGCCGCTAGATCGGCAGCGACGGAAGGCAAGATCAGCCGCCATCGGATCGGGAGGTCAGATGGGATCGGAGCGCGCGTCGGATGGGGCTGCGTCGGCACGGGGTCGAAATCGAATCGGATCGGCCGCGTCAGGACGCACGGCAGCGCCCATGCAGGCATCCGGACGCGCCAGGACGCCAGAGAATCGAAGCCTGATCGCATCGAGACGTGCGAGCTCGAAGTCGAGTCGGATCGGTCGAATCTGAATGGGCCCTGCGTAGTGGGGCCAGGTGTGCGCCGTTGGTTCCAATATAAGATCGGACAGAAGAACATCCTTCAGGAGCATGAGACCCTCCGCCGGCCAAAACGCACAGAACATCCGAGGGTACCCTCCCCAGGATGCACAAGAGCATCCAACAAGCACGAAGAACATTGGGGCTGCCTACCCGAACCAGCCTCGATCTTATGCCTCGGTCCGACCGTCGACCACCAGAGGTCGGCACCCCTTGGCCGTGACTAGCTCTTGATCCTGAGTCGTTCTTCTTGACGGTTCTGGGGCCAGGTAGGGGACCTCGGAGACCGACAATAGCGAAACACCTCCCGTCGTGGTGTTTCTTCTGCACGGCGGGGTGGGCCTGGGTCTGGTGCCCTCGTGCCCCATCCACGGATTCAGGAACACTCTGGGATGGAGGGGAGGTGAAACATGGGCCGCTGCGGTATCGAATATCTGGAGGGGAGGGCGAGGGGCTCCCCGATGGGGGCCAGGTCCTCCTCCTCCTCCTCCTCCTCCTCTGTCCTCGCTCCTCCTCCTCCTCCTCCACCTAACTCCTCCTCCTCCTCCTCCTCTCCTCCTCCTCCTCCACCTCCTCTCCTCCTCCTCATCCACTTCCTCCCGTTTTCCCCCCACCTCCTCCTCTTCCTCCTCCTCATTCTCCTCCTCCACGTCCTCCTCCTCTCCGCCTCCTCCTCCTCCTCCTCCTCCTCCTCTCCTCCTCCTCTCCTCCTCCTCCTCCTCCTCCTCATCCTCCTCCCTCCTCCTCCTCCTCCTCCTCCCTCTCCTTCCTCCTCCTCCTCCTCCTCCTCCTCCCCCTCCTCATCCTTCAATTCCTTGACCTTAAAGATAACTCCTCCCTGTCGCACCCCGAGGCTGGTCGAAAGGGCGGGCAAGGCGTTTCGCTCGAGACTTCTTCACAAGTTATGACCAGATGTTTAAAGATTGGCAACAGTTTCCCATATGAAGGGCGGGTTGTTTTCAGGATGTGGTTCCCGCCTTAGCTCCGCGCGCGCTCGTCTTAAAATTTGCAAGAGCTTCACAGAGTGAGGGCGGCTCGTTTTCAAAGTGTGGATCTCGCCTTCGCGCCGCGCACACTCGTTTGACAAAACTACAAGAGCTTGACGGGTTGAGGGCAGCTCGCTTTCAAAATGTGGCTCTCGGCGTAGAAGCGCGCACATTCGATATAACAAATTACTAAAAACTTCACGGATTGAGGGCGGCTCGTTTTCAAAATGTGGTTCTCGCATTAGCGCCGCGCACAGTCGCTCTACAAACTTGCAAGAATTTCACGGATTGAAAGCGGCTCGTTTCGAAAATGTGGTTCTCGCATTAGCGCCGCGCACAGTCGCTCTACAAACTTGCAAGAATTTCACGGAATGAAAGCGGCTCGTTTCGAAAATGTGATTCTCGCATTAGCGCCGCGCACATTCGTCCTACCAAATTGCAAGAATTTCAGGGATTGAAGGCGGTTCGCTTTGAAAATGTGGTTCTCGCATTAGCGCCGCGCACAGCCGTCCTACAACATTGCAAGAATATCACGGGTTAAAGTCGGAACGTTTTCGAAATGTGGTTATCACCTTAGCGCCGCGC